TGTTGGGGACACCAGACACCACCCCCCTCCCCCAATCCCAGACGGCGCCTCACTTCCTCATACCTTCCCCTGGGACGGCGGTCTGAAGAGCCAGTACTTACCCCGGTACCATTGTCGCAGACCACCACCTTCCTGCCCTGGCTGTCCATGGTCCGCTCCCGAACCGCCGCCGCTACCGCCCTCTGTCCCGGTGAAACTTTCCACCCGCCTCCCGACACCGGAAATCACCGTCCGCTCGCTCCCGCTCCAGAGGGCGCGCCGCTCCCACGTGACACACCGCTTCCGATAGGCGTGACCGGGTGCTGCCGGGGACGTCGTGATAGACGCAGGGCCGGGCGGAGCGTCGTTGATTGACAGTGAGGAGGCGGGGCCGGTAACGACTCTTCAATATTAATTGATTGACAAAGCTCTGCGCCCGGTTGTCCAATCAGCTTCAGGAAATGGCTGGTGGGCGGGACACAGGTTGCGGACGTAGCCCAGAGGGTGGGGTCACTGGAAGGAGAAGTCTAAAATAAGTCTTTTTGAAGAATATTCCAGGTATATTTTAAGTTCTAGTTCTTGTAGTGCGATTTGACGTTCTTTAAAGCTTAACAAAAAATTTTTCCTCACGTTGAATGATTGTTTTAATGTGATTGGTCCCTAAAGTGGGCCAATCAGAGAGTGCAGGGTGGGTTGCCATGGCGGCGGCGGCGGCGGTAGTTGGAACCTGGGCCTTTTCGCTGGCGGTGGTGGATACGGCCCGGCTGCTGTTGGCAACCGGCAGCGGGGCCTCGGCCACCGTCCAGGAGGCCATGGCAGGTGATGTATTTTCATGATGGCCGTGCCAACCTTTACACCCGCCACAGCAGCTCCCCAAGTCCCAAAGAGTGCCCTGTCCCTCGGCACTGACCCTCCGACAGTGCGGCGCTCCCTCGGCACTGACCCTCCGACGGTGCGGCGCTCCCTCGGCGCTGACCGTCCGACGGCGCGGCGCTCCCTCGGCGCTGACCCTCTGACGGCACAGCGCATTTCCTTTGATAGATACATAGTTATACAGGCTTGAGACAGACTTTTTGGTCCAACTTGTCCATGCCACTGAGGAATCCCAAACCAAACTAGTTCCATTTGCCAGCATTTGGCCCATATCCCTCTAAAATGGGGCGCAAGATACACCAGGAGATAGAAAAGGTGTGTAAGATAGGCAAAGTCACAGTGATCATGGGGGATTTCAATATGCAGGTGGACTGGAAAATCATGTTGGTAGTGGATTGCACGAAAAGGAATTTGTGGAATGTCTACGAGATGGCTTTTTGGAGCAGCTTGTGGTGGAGCCCACAAGGGAACAGGCAATACTGGATTTAGTGTTGTGCGATGAGACAGACTTGATACGGGAGCTTAAGGTAAAGGAACCCTAGGCAGTGATCATAAGATGATAGAATTTACGCTACAATTTGAGAGGGAGAAGATAGAATCAGAGATGACGGTATTACAACTGAATAAAGGCGACTACAGAGGTATGAGGGAGGAGCTGGGCAGAATTGACTGGAAGAGGAGCCTAGCAGGAAAGACAGTGGAACAGCAATGGCAGGAGTTTCTGGAAGTAATTCAGGAGACACAGCAAAAATTCATCCCTCAGAAAAAGATGCATGGTACAGGGAGGATGAGGCAACCATGGCTGACTAAGGAAGTCGGGGTTAGCATAAAAGCAAAAGAGAAAGCATATAATGTGGCGAAGGGCAGTGGGAAACCAGAGAACTGGGAAGCTTACAAAGACCAACAGAAGGCAACAAAAAAAATTAAGGAGGGAGAAGATTGAATATGACGGTAAGCTGGCCAGTAATGTAGATGAAGGCTGTAAGAGTTTCTTTAGGTATATAAAGGAAAGAGAGGCCAAAGTTGACATTCCACCACTGGAAAGTGAAGGCGGAGAGATAATAATGGGGAACAAGGAAATGGCTGAGGAACTGAATATTTACTTCGCGGCAGTCTTTACAGTGGAAGACACGAGTAATATCCCAAAAATTCAAGAGAGTCGGGGCGGAGCTGAGTATGGTGGCCATCACCAAGGAAAAGGTGCTAGTAAAACTGATTGGCCTGAAGGTGGACAAATAACCTGGATCAGATGGACTACACCCCAGAATTCTAAAGGAGATAGTGGAAGCGTTAGTGGTGATCTTTCAGGAATCGCTAGAGTCAGGGAGGGCCCCAGAGGACTGGAAAGTCGCTAACGTGACACCCCTGTTTAATAAGGGAGTAAGGCAAAAGACAGAAAATTATAGGCCGATTAGCCTAACCTCTGTCATGGGTAAGATTTTCGAATCCATTGTAAAGGATGAGATTTCTGAATATTTGGAAATGTAAAGTAAAATAGGGCAAAGTCAGCATGGTTTCATCCAGGGGAGGTCATGCCTGACAAATCTGCTAGAATTCTTTGAGGAAGTAACGAGCAGGGTAGACCAAGGAGAGCCAATGGATGTTGTCTACCTGGACTTCAAGAAGGCCTTTGATAAGGTGCCACACAGGAGGCTGCTGAGTAAGATAAGGGCCCACGGTGTTAGAGGCAAAGGACTAGCACGGATAGAAGATTAGCTGTCTGGCAGAAAGCAGAGAGTAGGGATAAAGAGGTCTTTCTCAAGTTGGAAGCTGGTGATAAGTGGTGTTCTGCAAGGGTCAGTGCTGGGACCACAACTTTTCACTTTGTACATGAATGATCTAAATGAAGGAACTGTGGGCATTCTGGCTACGTTTGCAGACGATACAAAGATAGGTGGAGGGACAGGTAGAATTGAGGAGATGGCGAGGCTGCAGAAGGATTTGGACAGGTTAGGAGAGTGGGCAAAGAAGTGGCAGATGGAGTACAACGTGGGAAAGTGTGAAGTCATGCACTTTGGTAAGAAGAATAAAAGCACGTACTATTTTCTAAATGGGGAGAAAATTCAGAAGGCTGAAGTGCAAAGAGACTTGGGAGATCCAGTCCAGGATTCTCTCAAGGTAAACTTGCAGGTTGAGTCAGTAGTCAGGAAGGCAAATGCAATGTTGGCATTTATTTTGAGAGGACTTGAGGGGGCATCTAACTGAAACTTTCAGAATACTGAATGGCATGGACAAAGTGGATGTTGGGAAGATGCTTCCATTGGTAGGAGAGTCTAGGACCCAAGGACACAGCCTTAGAGTAAAGGGAACATGTTTTAGAACGGAGATAAGGAGAAACATCTTCAGCCAGACAGTGGTGAATCTATGGAATTCACTGCCACAGAAGGCTGTGGAGGCCAGGTTATTGAGTACATTTAAGACTGAGATAGATAGGTTCTTGATTATCAAGGGGGTCAAGGGTTACGGAGAGAAAGCGGGAGAATGGAGTTGAGGAACTTAAGAGCCATGATTGAATGGCAGAGCAGACTCGATGGGCCGAATGGCCTAAATTCTGCTCCTATGTCTTATGGTCTTAAACCCTTTCTATTCACATCCTATCCAGATACCTTTTAGATGTTGTGATTGTACCCGCCTCTGTTTCTTCCTCTGGGTTCACTGCCTATACGCACCAGCGTCTGTGTGAAAAAGTTGCCCCTCACGTCCCTTTTAAATCTATCCCCTCTTACCTTCAACCTGTGCCGTCTAGTTTTGGACTCCCTCACCCTAGGGAAAAGACCTTCACTATTCACCTTATCTCTGCCTCTCAAGATTTTAAGAACTTCTCTAAGGATTTAGAACAGTTCTGTTTAATCTCCCTCGACTCCAAATTGTGTTCATAATCTTGTGTAAAAAAATTACTTTTATTTTGTTCTGCTGTTTGTGATCTCAGGACATCTGGAAATGGCTGCTGTAATGTACTGTATAGAAATTCAGTGCAAAGTTTAACTTCACGAGATGAGTCAAAGCCAACTGAGTTTGACCTGCCTGAATGTCTGATTTTTGTGATGCATTATGTTCTAGTAAGAAAGCAATTTTTAATTTACCCAAAGACACCAAGCAGCAGACTTCGGAGAGGGAGGCTAGAAATGAAGTGTTTGTTTGTAATGAGATTTGAGATCCGTATGCACCAGTGTTCGTAGCTGAACACAAATGGAGGTTGTCTAAGTTACTGCTAGCGAATCTATCAACACATTTTTGGAAAGGATTGCGATTGAAACTTGATTGGATCTTTCTGTATCGCTTGCTGCAAATTGCACTGTGTGCTGTGAAACACAGGCTGAGCTGCATGATTGGATTAATGATTTCCAAGATCAAGACTTGTTATCATAAGACAGCATTTCAGAATCCAACTATGGCATGTGTGGATTTTAAGTTAACTTTATTCAGATGATCAACTTATGGTCAGTCATGGCAATTATGAAACAATGTTGTCATATAAACCTGTCAGGTTATTCATGTCCTCCAGGAAAGAAATGCATCCAATTTATGGGCTTCCAGTTTGAGCCTAGAGAAGGTATGAAGAATCTTGGTGAAGACATAGAGAAAGTGAGTACCAGGAGGTCACTGGTGCTGGAAGATGGATGGGGTCTGAATGGAGTAATTGGAGGAAGGACAGTGGTGTGTTGTGATTGGGAAGTATTACTGAAACTTAAAGGAAGAATCTACAGGACAGTGTGGCCTTGTTATATTGTCTAGGAATCTGGGCAACATCAGGAAGAGATGCACAACAGCAGGATACTGATGAGGTGGACAGACTGAGATGGATGTGTGGAGTGACAAGAGTGATCAAAATCAGAGGTCTATAAGTAAGGGTTAGTGAGGATTGTAAGAGTTTCAAAGAAGGTAGAGAAGAAGAGATTGAAATGGTGTGGATGTCTGTTACAGGGAGAGAGAGGGTGGTGAAATGCAGTGAATTGATTGAAGATGGGATTGCCATGAAGAGGGTTCAAGACCAGATGGAAAGATCCAACGGTGAGAGACTGATATGTAGCAGAATTGGAGGTGGAGTGGGTGACTGACAGGACGACCATAAGAGAAAGCAGAAGAATTGAGCCATCTAAGGAAGGATTTGCCGGCATTAGATGGGGGCAAGAGAAGTCTTTGAAGGATGTTCCCGGGGATGAAGTCCTTGTCATATGAGAGGTGGTTGAGGGCTCTGGGTCTGTACTTGATGGAGTTTAGAAGGATGAGGGGGGATCTCATTGAAATTGTCCAAATATTGCGAGGCCTGGATAGAATTAACATGAAGATGATGTTTTCACTAGTAGGACTAAGACCTGATGGCACAGCGTCAGTGAAGAAATGAGCCTTTAGAATTTCTTCAGCTAGACGATGGTTAATCTGCGGAACTGATTGCTGAAGAAGACTGTCGCGGCCAAGTCATAGAGTGTATTTAAGACAATGATAGGTTCTTTATTAGTAAGGGGATCAAAGGGTTATGGGCAGAAGGCAGGACAACAGGGTTGAGAAGTATATCAGCCGTGATGGACGAGGGTGACCAACCAGCATTATGGAGACTCTGAAGTGAAATGGGAGAAGCAGAAAGAGAAATAAATCTGCTCTTTGCCGAACGTGGCCTATATGTGGCTCCAGATCCACCACATTGTGGTCTGTTTTTAAACTGGTTTCCAACATGTCGTAGAAAGCCACTCAGTTGTGTTCAAAAAGACAGTTCAACACAAACATCTCAAGCACTCTTGAGGGATGAGCAATAATTGCTGACCCAGCCCACATCGCATGCCTGAACAAGAAACATTTGTTCCTGTAGATGGCAATGGTCAGCTAGCTTTGTCTCTGGATAATTCCGAGAATGTTTCCTGAACTGTGACCCCATTCCCCCCCCCCCCCCCCAAAAAGATAAAAAGAAAAACTCGCACATAACGTCTGCTGGATCTTATATTTCAAATCTCTGCCTTCCCCACTATTCAGGAGGTTGCAGTGATATGAAAATACTTTCCAAATAAGATAGCATAACAACGTTATACTGGATTTGTTTTGTTTCTGGTTAGCTTATATGGAGGATTCCATGGAATTAGTTGGCTGGGAAAGAGTGTTTGTCATAATTCACTGTAGACCTAGAGTCACATCAAGACCAGACTGGTTAAGGATGGCAGATTGCCCTCCTGAAAGATCAATGATGAATCGGCGTATGTCACAAAATGGGTGAATTATGAGTACTAATAGAAGTTAGTATCTAAGCCCACATCAACGTAGGAATGTTGAGCAGGTGTAGGCCAGTTGGCTCCTCTGGCCTGCACTGCCATGCAAAAATCACAGCTGATCTGATTCCTCTTCGATCCCACCTACCCCCTGGAAGGTTTCACCCCTTGCTTATCGAGACTCTATCTCCCTCACTTTAAAAATATTCAATGACTCTACTTCAACTACTTTTTGAGGAAGGGTTCCAAAGACTTATGACTCTGAGAGGGGGAACAATCCTCCTTATCTCTGTATTATGTGGATGACCCCCTTATTTCAGTGAGCCCTAGTAATAGATTCTTCCACAAGAGGAAATATCTTCCCCCATCCACCCTGTCAAGGTTCCTAAAGATCTTGTATGTTTCAATTAAGTCACCTCTGACTCCGCTAAACTCCAATGGATACAGGGCCAGCCTCTCCAACCTATCATCCTAAGACAACCTGTCCATTCCATGTGATTGTCTGGTAAACCTCTGAATTACTGCTTGTGTGTTTACCTCCTTCAGTTTAATGTGACCAGTACTGTGCACAGAACTCCAATTGTGAGAAATGACTGGCTCATCAGAGTGAAATGTGGGGTAGAAATCAGAAACAGAAATGGTTAAGAGGTTGCTTGTGGGAATAGTTTAGAGACATCTGAACAGTGGTTACACAGTAGAATGGAATACATGGATAGCGATAAATGGAGCAGGCAAGAAAGGGCCTGCAGTAATCATGGGTGACTTTCAACTACAGGTAGATTCAATGGATGAGATTGGCCAAGCAAACCCGGAAAATGAGTTCATCAAGTCTATTAAGGACAGTTTCTAAAAGCAGTATATTCAAGACCCATCCGGGGAGCAGGTTGTCCTTCACCTTATCAGAAGCAGTGAGACAGAATGAATTGATAACCTCATGCTAAAGAAACCTCTAGGTGACAGTCATAACATTATCGAGTTTCACATTGCGTTTGAAAGGAAGAAGTGTGGAACCGTGAACAAAAACAAAGTTGTTGGAAAAGCTCAGCAGGTCTGGCAGCATCTGTGAAGGAAAAAACAGTTCATGTTTCGGGTTAGGTGATCCTTCCTCAGAACTCAACTGAGTGTTGGGTTCTCCAGACCCAAAACATTAACTCTGTTTATTTTCTTCACAGATGCTGCCAGACCTGCTGAGCTTTTCCAGCAACTTTGTTTTTGTTCCTGATTCACAGCATCCGCAGTTCTTTCTGTTTTTTTTTAAGTGTGGAACCATGACTGGTCTTATAAGCCTGAATAAATATAACTATGAAGGCAGAGCAAACTTAATTGAACTGAGAAACTAGGTTAAAAAGTTACAACAGTGGAGTTGCAGTGGCAGATTGTAAGGAGATATTTAATAACTGTTAAAGACTAATCCAAGTGAGAAACAAAGACTGTCAAAGAGATCTACATCATGAAAACAGACCCTTCGGTCCAACATGTCCATGCCGACCGGATATCCTAAATTAATCTAGTCCCATTTGCCAGCATTTGGCCCATGTCCCTCTAAGCCCTTCCTATTCATATACCCATCCAGATGCCTTTTACATGTTGTAATTGTACCAGCCTCCACCACTTCCTCTGGCACTCGTTCTACACACTCACCACCCTCTGCATGAAAATGTTGCCCCTTAGGTCCCTTTTAAATCTTTCCCCTCTCATTTAGGATATCTGGTTGGCATGGACGAGTTGGATCGAAGGGTCTGTTTCCAGGCTATATAGCACTATGACTCTAAGATTTAAATGGGAAAGAAGTAACTGAAGTTAGTGTCAGCTTTCTAACCAATAAATTTGGTAAATAGATAATGGGTTACAAGGAAATGGTGGAGGTATTCAGCGTGTACTTTGTGTTTGCCTTCATTAGAAGACTTGGAAAGCTTCCCAAAGATATTCAAAGTGAAGACATGAACGAGAGGGAGAAAAATAAGATGGTTGCTGTCACCAGGGAAAAGATGCTGTTGGAAGTAATCTTGGCATCACTAAGACAGAATGGCCTGCAACCTCTGATCTTAAAACAAATTAGTGGCACAGTTAGTACAATCTTCCAATATTCTTTGGATTCTGGAAGGATCTCAACAGGTTGGAAAAGTAGAAATGTAATGCCTTCATTCAATAAAAGAAAGAGACAGAAAGCAGAAACTATAGGCCATTTAGTCTAAAATATGTCAGAGGCAAGAATCCATTATGATGGAGGCTAACATAGGATACTTCAATCACAATGTCATCTGACAGAGTTATCATGATTTTCTAAAAGAGAAACTGTGTTTTGCGAATTTATTCAAGGTGTATTAGGAAGTAACAATCAATAGACAGGTAGATAAAAGGGGACCTGGAAGTGTGCCACACTTGAATTTCCAAAACCATTTGGTAAGGTGCTACATCAGAGGTTAGTGGAATTTGAATTCAATAAATATCTGGAATTAAGAATCTCATGATGACCATGAATCCATTGTCGATTGTTGGAAAAACCCATCTGGTTCACTAATGCCGTTTATGGAAGGAAATGGCCATCCTTACCTGGTCTGGCCTACATGTGACTCCAGACCCAGAGCAATGTGGTTGACTCTTAATTGCCCTCTGGGCAATTAGGGATTGGCAATAAATGTTGCCTGGCCAGCGACACCCTCATCCCGTGAATGAATAAAGAAAAAAAAACTCACAAGATGAGAGTTCATGCTGTGTTAATATGGATGAAAGGTTTGTTAGCTAACAGGAGGCATAAAGTAGAGATAAAGTCAGTTTTAAGGTTGCATAGCACTGGCAAGGAAAGTACTATGAAGATCCTGTTCCTCAACTCTTTTTGCAATCTATGTGATTGACTTAAACACCATGAACAACATGTAGTTAAATTTGTCAATGACACCAGTGTGGATCAAAAAGTACATCATCAAGAAGAGATAGAGGATCTCTAAAGGGATATTGACAGGTTAACTACGTGGGCAAAAGAAATGGCAGATAAGAGTCGAATGTGAGAAATGTGGCAGGAAGGCAAGAAAAGCAGAAAAATTGAAAAAAACTGCAGATGCTCTAAATCAGAAACAACAACAAATTGCTGGAGAAGCTCAGCAGGTCTGGCAGCATCTGTGGAGAGAAATCGATGTTAACGTTTCGGGTTGAGTGGCCCTTCCTCAGTTTGTTATTTATATGGGGAAAAGTTGTATAACTTGGTGGTACAGGAGGATCTAGGTACTGTCCTAGTAAATGAATCACTAAAGGTTATGTTGGTACAGCAAGTGATTATGAAGGTAAATGGAATGTTGTTACTTGCAAGGGGAATCAGTTATAACAGTGGGTCAGTTTATTGCAGCTGTACAAAGCCTTTGTGAGATGACTTCCGGAGTACTGTCTGTAGTTTTTATCCTCTTATTTGAGAGAAGACATAATGGCTTCAGATGTAGTTCAGAGAAATTTCATGCAACTCATTGCTGAGATGGGAATGGGGGAATTAACTTATGAACAAAGATTGGACAGTCTGGCTTGAGAAGAATGAGAGGTGATCTTATGGAAACAGGCGACTTGATGGAGTGGATACCAGGAGGATGTTTCTTTTGGTGGGGAAGACTAGAGCTCGGGGACACATTTTAAGAAATTCCTTCTAAGACAGATGAGGAGAAATTCTTTTTTCTGAGAGATTTGTTAGCATGTGACATTCTCTTCCCCCAGCAGTCGAGAGTACATATCGATCAAATTTAGATAAGGCTGAGTTATAGAATTTTGATATACAAGGTAGTCAAGTGTCATACGGGTTAAAGACAGAAAAGTTGGGTTGAAGCCATATTGACGACTTATTAAATGGCTGAGGCGGCTTGTTAGGCCCAGGGGCCTACTTCTGCTCCTAACCTTGATTTCAATCTGTTATTCCCACCATGTTTTCTGTTTACCTAGGCCATTCCAAAGTGTTGCAGATTTTTTTGACAGTATTTTATGGTAGAATCTCCATCTCGGAGAAAACAGATTGATAAATTAAAGTTTGTTTCTCCTTCACCTTCCAGAACTAGAAAATGACAAGGAGACTGGCTGCTTTATTGTAGGCCGTGGGGGCTTCCCAAACAAAGCTGGAGTTGTTCAGTGTGATGCTGCGATCATGGAAGGACTGCCGGGGCGTTTTGGAGCTGTCGCAGCCCTACCTGGGTAGGTGTTGACTGTCAGCTTTGGTCATTATCAATGTTTGTGGTTGTTTCCATATTAATCAGAATTATTGACTTGTACATCATAGATGATGTTATAGAATGTTGTAAGATGGAGTAAATGGCCTCTTGTGTTGCATCCTGCAAACACAGGGATTCCTGTCATTAATTTAAGCCCTGGAGTGACAGGATCTTTTAAATTCCTCTGAAGACGTGTGTAACTGTGTCTCTGAAATTTTGTATACCTCAGTTGATTTAAGCAAGGCATTGTTGAATGCCCATTTTTGTGTATTTAAACTAGAATACACTATTTTCTGGATCCTTTCATCATATGATTTTTTTTTTTAAATTTGTCTCGCTTGCTTTTGAGTTGCCATATTAGAACTAATTTGGCCATTTCCCCAGATTACGCCACATTCGACATCTCTCTTACATTTGATCCACCCAGAAGCTGAAGCCTTGATATAGTGCATGCACTAAAGTTATTCAGGCCAATTAAATAGCACATCACAATACAGCACCAATTATAACATAGCAATTTCCACTTGTGAAAGTTTGTGCAACTGCTCTGGATTGAACTGCAGTGTAGGGCTAAAGAAAAATAACACGTTGCTTATAATCATTTGTCTTATAACCGCAGTTTATATTTTTCACTGTGTTTTGCGATAGCGTTGGTATCCCACTGACAGTGGCTCGTATGGTGATGGATAAGAGTGATCACACAATGCTTGTTGGAGAAGGAGCTGTTGCTTTTGCCAAAGAGCAGGGATTCCGTATTGAAGACAACAGTGACATGATGACTGAGGCAAGCTTGGCTGCCTATGAGGTGATTAAACAACATCTAGTATACACTTGTTACTGACATTCATACGTACAATGTTTCCACATTTGCTTTGTAGAATTAGAACAATTAGTTCAAACAAAATCTCAAGTGCAAGTCAAGAGTTTATTTTCGAGCCCCAGCCAGTATTTTAGCTTTCAGACGATTGGTGCCATAGAAGTTATCATAGTGCAGCTTTCTTGCTCAACTGTACGTTAATGCACAGTTAGGAATGTGAGGAGACCATTCAGCCCCTCAAGCCTGTTCTGTCACTTCGTTAGATCACGGTTGATCCGTATCATAGCCCCATCTCTTGCCTTGGTTCTCTTAACCTTAAAGTAATCTGCTTTACCTCACCAAAATCTATCGATGTTAGATTGTAATTTTCACTTGACCCCAAGCCTAGACAAGAATTTTTTTTTTTCGGGTTTGATGGAGTTGTTCTAGATTTACACTATCCTTTATGTGAGCAAATGCTTTCTGTCAGCACCTCTGAATGGCCTGGCAAGTTCCACAGACACAGCTAAAGAAATATTAACTTCTGTCACCATGAATGGACCTAATCAACATAAAGTCATACCACTGAGAATAAAAAATACAACAACTTTGCAATGATTAATAAACAAACTTAGTGAAGAATCATCCAACTATGTTGTATGTACTGATGATTTGGTTGTGTTCATCTGAACCTGGGAGGAATATTCACCACAATATGAGTGTGTAGCTGAGGAGCTGGAGCAGAGGGCAAGGATTCATATTTTTGGACCATTGGGATCTCTCCAGGAGTTAGGAATGTCTTGTATAAGAGGGACGGGTTCAAACTGAATTAGAAAGGGACCAATATCCTTGGTAAGGAGATTAGCTAGTGCTACTTGGGAGGCTTTAAACTAGTGAGGGGAGGTGGTCGGAATCAAAGCAATAGTGAGAAAAGGCTGAGGCTGGTACAGTCAATGAGGGGAGCAAGTCGAATAGTCAAGGCAGACAAGGGACTGGCAGAGAACAAGATAGGACTGATAGATTAAACTGCATTTACTTCAATGCAAGAGGCCTGACAGGTAAGGCAGATGAACTTAGGACATGGTTGGAAACATGACACTGGAATAACATGGGTATTACACAAACGTGGATGAGGGATGGACAGGACTAGCAGCTTCAGGATAGAAAGGGAGGCAACAGAGGAGGGTGAGTGGCATATTTGGTTAGGGATAACATTACAGCTGTACTTAAGGAGGATATTTCTAGGAGTAGAGTCATAATGTTATTCAGCATGGAAACAGACCCTTTGGTCCAACTCATCCACGCCAACCTGATATCCCAGACTGATCCAGTCCCATTTGCCAGCATTTGGCCCATATCCCCTTCCTATTCATGTACCCCCTCCAGATGCCTTTTAAATGTTGTATTTGTACCTGTTGTACCATTTGGGGAAGAAAATGAAAACAACAGCACTTTAATAAGGAGGAAGACAGACAAAGGCAGTGACCACATGGGAAGTGAATCAAATGGAGAAACAAACCTACACTGCTTTCTGACCCATCAGTGAATCTACACACCTGATTGTTCTACTATTTGATTCCAAGTATCTTTGGACATCGGAGTTCATCTAAGAAAAATAAACAAAGAGCAAAATTCACAGCTGATCTTGGAGAAACCTGCGTGGGACAGCTCACAGCGAGGGAACAACTAAATGGCTTGTAAAGTGTAACCATCCCGGTTTTATTAGTAAATCTAAAGTAGTGAGTAGAATGGGTTCATTTTTGATGATGTGTTATAGTAAGATCTGTCTCTCAATTAAACTTTAAAAATATAAAACTCGGGCACTAAGTTAGCCTAGAGCTTTTTTTAGAGCAGTATGACTGGGCTATTTTCTGGCTTTGTAGATTGGTAAGGTGTAAAGGTGGCCTTTAGTAGAGCAATGTGTTCTTCCTGTCAGATGTAGCAAATCAGGGAGAGTTTGCATGTCACTGACGATAATGTCTACAGGAAGTGTGTTTGGTTGCAAATCCTATCAGAGCACATGGATCGGTTGGAGAAGCAGCTAGGTGGGTTGATAGCTGTTGCAAGAGGGAGATAAACTGAAGATACAGTCAGGTAGGTGGGTTACCTCCAGGAAAGATAGGAGAGGGAAACAGGTCATGCAGGAATCTCCTGTGACTTTCCTCATAAAACTGTTGCTGTTTTAGAAAATGTCAGGGGTGATGGACTGTCAGGGGAATATAGCACTGACATCCGTAACGAAGGATACGTCTGGCTCCGAGTGATCGATTTTGATAGGGGACGGAGGCACAGATAGATGTTTCTGTGGCTGACGGTGAGACACGAGAATGGTGCATTGCCTCCCTGGTGCCAGAATCAAGGACATCTCGGAGAGGGTGCAGAACATTGTTAATGGGGAGGTGGACCAGCAGGAGGTCATTGGACACATTGGAACTAATGTCACAGGAATAGAAAGGGATAAGATTCTAATAAGCCCATAAGACATAGGAGCAGAAGTTAGGCCATTCAGCCCATGGAGTCTGCTCCACCATTCAGTCGTGGCTGGTAAGTTTGTCAACCCCATTCTCCCACTTTCTCGCCATAACCCTTGATCCCCTTGGATAGCACCGTGCCTCAGTGGTTAAGCACTGCTGCCTCAGTGCAAGGGACCAGGGTTTGATTCCAGCCTTGGGCAACTGTCTGTGTGGAGTTTGCACATTCTCCCCGTGTCTGTGTGGATTTTCCCCAGGTGCTCCGGTTTCCTCCCACAGTCCAAAGATGTGCAGGTTAGGTGGACTGGCTATGCTAAATTGCCCATTGTGTCTATATAATATAGGGATGGTGTCGGGTGGGTCTGGGTGGGATGCTCCTCGGAGAGTCAGTGTGGATTCGATGGGCCGAATGGCCTGCTTCCACCCTCTCAGAATCTATATTTTTTATAGAATCCCCAGGAGAGAATATAGGAATTCAGGAAGGAATTTAAAAAGTAGGTCCCTGAGGGTAGCAATATCTGCTTACTCTTGGTGCCTTGAGCTAATGAGGGTGGGAATAGGAGAATAGAGCAGATGTATGTGTGGCTGAGGAATGGTGCCGGGGAGAAGGATTCCCATTTTTGGATCATTGAAATCTCTTCTGGGGTAGAAATGATCCATATAAGAAGGACAGATTGCACCTGAATTGGAAGGAGACTAATATACTGGCGGGGAGATTTACTCGAGCTGCTCAGGAGGATTTAAACTAGTTTGAGGGGGGGTAGGACCAGACAGATGGTGAGGAAAGGGATCAGTTGGAGAGTGGTACCGTTGGGGAAAAGGAGTAAGTCAAACAGCCAGGACGAGCAGGAACAAAGCAGAGAACGAGATAGGGCTAATAAACTAAACTGCATTTATTTCCATATAAGAGGCCTAACAGGTAAGGCATATGAACTCCGCATGGTTGGGATCATGGGACTGGGATATCAGAGCAATTGCAGAGATGGGGCTCAGGGATGGACAGGACTGGCAGCTGAATATTCCAGGGTATAAATATTATTGGGAGGATAGATGCAGCGTTGGGGGTGCAAAAGAAGAGGGGGAGTGGCCTTTTTGATTAAGGATAATGTTACGGCGGTACTTGAGGATATTTGTGGGAATGCATCTAAGGAAGTTATGCGGGTGGATCTGAGAAATCAAAAGAGAACATCACCTTGTTGGCATTGTATTATAGCTCCCCCCCCCCCATAGTCAGAGAGAAATTGAGTAGCAAATACATAAGGAGATTTTGGATATCTATAAGAATAATAGGGTTGTAAAGGTAGGGGATTTTAACTTTCCAAACATAGACTGGGACTGTCAATACTTGGCTGGGGAGATACTTAAGTGTGTACGAGAAAACTTTCTTCTTCAACATGAGGACGTACCTACGAGAGAAGGAGCAATACTCGACTTACTCTTGCAAAATAAAACCAGTCAAGTGACTCAGTTGTCAGTGCGGGAACACTTTGGGTCAAGTGATCATAAGTATTAGTTTTAAAATAGTTATGGAAAAGGATAGAGCTGATCAAAAAGTTGGGGTTCTAAATTAGAATAAGGCCAATTTTGACCGTATTAAACAGGAACTTTCAAAAGTGGATTAGGAGAGGTTATTTGTAAGTAAACGGATGGTTGGGAATTGGGAAGCCTTTAAAAATGGGATCACCAGAGTTCAGAGACATCATGTTCCTATTAGAGTGAAGGGCAAGGCTGGTACATGTAGGGAATGCTGGATTACTAGAGAAATTGCGGCTCTGTTTAAGAAAAAGAAGGCATATGTCTGGTCGGTGTGGACTAGTTGGACCAAAGGATCTGTTTCCATGCTGTATTACTTTGACTTTACAACTATTTGCATCTAATTAAATGATTTATTTAGTTGTAATTGGATGTAATTTAGTTGTAAACTTCGCCAAAAAAAATTTCCAAAGGGGAAGTAATTTATTTGGGCCATTCTGTGGAACAAAGCCAAGCGGCGCCCGCAGATGCAAACAAAACAGCTTGCTTGGATTTTCCTATGTCCAAGTTAAAACAATAGATTTTGCAGAATATAGGCATCAATGGATTTTAACATAACTTGTTTTGAATTTCAAAGCTGCAGTGGCTTCTTGATAAGTTTGTTATCAAAATGGAATTTGAATTATCAGAGGAGTGCCAAAATGCCTTTGATAGCTTAAAATCTGCATTGATGATGATACTAGTTTTAGCAGCACTGAATTATGCCAAGCTATTTAAACTGGCTGGTGATGCCATAACATCAGTTTAGGTGCAGTTTTATCCCAGCAGAATGAATGAGATTATGGATCAACCAACCAGAATTTTTTTTTTTCATGAGTTGAATTCATGCCAACAGAAATACTCAGCTGTGGATTAAAGATTGAGTTTGGTGTTGGCTATGCAACATTTTGAATTCTACATATCCAACAACTTTGCAGAGAGTTTTATTTAAATCATGTGATCCAAGCTGGAAAAGAACATTTTTCTTTACCAAAAAGCTTAGACTGTTTTGGTGGAGTTTATTGCTATAACCAAAGAAGTTGAAAATCATTCATGTCTTGGGAAGAAACAACATCATTGCTCTTGAAACATATGCAAAAATGGAGAAAGACAAATGTGATCAAAATGGACTAGTTGAATATTATTGTCTGGGAAGTCTTTGTTTATTTAATGTAAACATGTAGCAACTGACCAAATAAAATCTGGACAAGTAAAATAAAAATTGTGATGAGCAAATTATAATAGGAAATGAAAATGTCTTTTACAGATACGTTTTGGTTTACTTTATGTGAGGAAGTGTTCTGAAAGTTTGTTGTTTGAGAACTTGGATTCTAAGGTAGAAAGTCTGCAAGGATCTGAGCTTTTATCATGGTCAGCAAATCATGTTGAACATTTACAAGGAGGTGTAATTACTGCTAAATGACAAGCAAGCCACCTCAGGAGATTATTGTTAAGATGTTTGCTGACTTGAGTTCTACGACTATCAGAGAGGGAGAAGGAACCAGAGCAGGTTCATGGAGGGGCCAGAGGCCTATAATAGCAGAGATGTTGTTATTTCCAATCTCAAAGCAATCACGGCTGGGAATTGACCTGAGATGCATGCAAGTCGGTGAGAAGAAAGCTCCAGAAACAGAAGACTGTTGGAGTGTTATCGAAGAGTCCTACAAAGCTGTTGGAGGCGAGGGTTTAAGGAATCCATGCTAAATAATGGTGAGCTGAGTCAGTAGTTTGTTTTAGCAGTCATGGGGAAAAACATTATTTGAAGAAAATAGCGTCAGATGAATGTGCAGCAAATCAGGGACAAATCTTTTATTTTTGATGTTGTACTGAGATTGTTTCAATAGGTATTATCTAGTGGGATACAGTTTTGTTTTTCTTTTGTGTGATAAACATGCTGTTCTTTTGTTAAAAGTACACTGAGAGCCTCTTACTAACAAGTTCAGTGACTGACCTCCATGGTAAACAAAAAGAAACAAAAAATTTATGATCTGATGTATCCAATATTAAAACATCAGCTGGGATCATAGCATTATAGTTTAAACTTGGTTATCCTTCAACCCAAAGGGGAGCCCAAAGAGAGGAGATAGAGTGAGAAGGGGAAACAGTAGAATGAGTGAGCCCTAGAAAGAAGCGTTTTTCCTTCTCACTCCCAGCAAGTAATTGCTGGACAGCAAAGGTCCATGGGCAAATTTCTTGGCTTGTCAGCAGTTAAGGTCTGTAAGTGACCAATTGGTAGAACTTCAACTCACCTCCTCCCTGATGACCTGGCTTCCTGACTGGTGGCGATGATGGATAATTTCTAGTTTGGGAAGTTATGGCCACTTAACTACCTGTTGAGGGGGGCCTCCAATTGACCCAACTTGGAGGTAAAGCTGGTGGGTAAGAGGCTCTGAAAATCACTTTCTGCCCTTGCCTCTGAGCCCCACTCTGCCCTGGCACCACACCCCAAAGAAGTATAAGCAATGCATCGCTTCTCACCACTTAATGCTCCCAAATGAGGAGGGTTCGACCGAGAAGCTGCTGTCTTCTAATCAATACCTTGAGATGACAAGTTATTCACCCATGTCCGCCTGTCAGCTCTGAAGCTGATTGGTAGCTGACTGAGCTGTCTCACTGGTGGGATGGTTTGTTGGTCACCATCTAATACACTCACTCCCACACTTGGTGGGATTTTACGCTAGTTTTTCTATGCCATAGACAGAGAGTCAGGATTAATGGATCTTTTTCAGGTTAGAAAGACCGTAATTGGTGGATTGCCACAAGGATCAGTCCAAAGGCCTCCATTAGTTCCTATCTATCTTACTGACTTGGAGGAGGGAGCGGAGTTTCTTTTATTCATTGACTCATGGGAGGTGGGCACCACTGACTGGCCAGCATTTATAACTGGTCCCTAGTTGCCCTTGAGAAGATGGGAGTGAGCTGCCTTCTTGTCCTGCTACAATCCATTTTGTGTAGGTTGAACCAGTTTGCTGTCAAGGAGAGAGTTCCAGGACTTTGACCCAGTGACACTGAAGGAATGATGATGCATTTCCAAGTCAGGATGGCGAGGGGATCAGATGGAGGGGAACTTGCCAGGGGCTGGTGTTTCCATTTTTCTACTCCCTTGTCCTTGAGAGTGTATTCAAATTTGCTGACAATACAGAAGTAACTGAGAGGGCATGTTGTGATGAGGACATGATGAATCTGCAAGGGGACATAGAAGTATTGAGAGCAGTTGGAGTTTGATCTAATGAAGTGTGTGGTCATGCTTTTCAGTAGGGACAATCAGAAGGCAGAGTACTATTTAATTCAAGAGAGACTCCCAAAGAAGTGCAGCACAAAAGAATCTAGTTGTTCTTGTGCATGAAACACAAATGGCTAGCATGCAGATGCAGCAAGTAATTAAGAAGGCAGATTGAATTTTGGCCTTTGTTGCAAGGGGTTGGAATAATGAAGTCTTGTCACCACAATACAGGGTGCACTTGGAGTACTGGATGCAGTTTGGGCCCTATATTTAATCAAGTATATATAGGCATTGGGGGCAGTTCAAAAGAGATTCACTGGGTTGAATCTTGGATTTGGATGGCCTGGTTTATCAAGAATAGCTAAACAATGGAGTTGTTTTTTTCATTGGAGTATAGAAGAATGAGGAGCATTTCTTTTTAACATAGATTCTGAAGCGGTCTGACAAGGTAGATATTGAGAAAATCGTCCAGCAGAGGGGAAATCTCAAACCAGGGGTCTTAGTTACAGAGGAAGGCAATTTAAAGCTGAGATGCAAAGGAATGTCTTCTGAGGGTAATGAATGTCTGAAATTCTTTGTCCCAGAGAGTTGTAGAGGCTGGATTGCTGATAATATTTAAAGTGAAGGCAGATACCCCTCAAGTCCATAATCCTTCAGAAAGCTTAGAGCTGGAATGAAAGAGGAAGTGAGACCTAGGGCACACCAAGATGATCTTATTGAATGGCAGGGTGGGTTTGAGGGGCTGAATGGACTTGTGCTCCTGTTTCTTGTGTTTTAATGTAATGGATTATAATATTCTTGTATTTACAGAAAGGTTTGGAGAATGATTAAAATAAATGGCATATTCTGGATTCACACATCACTGCCTCATTTTGATGCCACGTGATATATGTTATAAATGTATGAAATTACATATGCATATCAACTTTAATAGCATTGCTAGATGGGTACCGAAGAGAAATGAGCAAACACCATGCATTTTTCAGCAATTTTTCTAAATACGTAATTTACACCTGGAGTCCTTTAGTTGTCAAAATGCACTGCTTATGATTTTGGTTTATTTCATTTTTGATGAATTTTTTTAATCGTTTCAATTTGTTTAGGAATTTTTGAAAAGTCGCAAGAGCCCTTCCAAAAATCATGACACTTTAGGTAAGAAATGTCTTGTGTGCTAAAATGGAAGGTATTTCCATATTACTATATTCCATATTACTATATAAATTCTATGCTCGCTGCACTAAAACCTGCAGTGAATCTTGCTAGTTACATCAATGTCATCAAGTAGATATTGCTGTTTTGTTAGAGCCATGTTTCAACCCTCTTGTTCTGATTAAGACTTAGAGCATTACAGACTAAACCAAAAAGTCATCTAGAGCAGAACTTATTCGTTAATGAACCTTCAACAGCGCAAATAATCAAAATGTCTCAATGTTGCCACAAAGTGCAATTGATTACAAGTATCCACAATAATGGTTCTGACACATACTCAAAGCAAGCAGTTACATACTTTTTGGCAGTGTTCGTACAATACATGTACGTGCTACGTTCAATCAAAGAATATGAATAATCTGGAACCCAAGCCAATCTGTTTTAGTTGAAACTAAGTACTAATATAATAAGCCTGAATAGTTGGCTCAGTTAGTCACGTGACTACAGTGTGATGCGAAATGACAGTAATTTGGCAAGTTCAGCCCCAGACTATCGGTGTTAAGCCATGCGGACGTTGCTTCCTGTCTTATTAAAGATGGTGGTATAGTGGCAATCGTACTGGTGTTCATAATCCATAGGACTATGATAGTTACCTGGGGAAATGGGTTCTGATTGAATTTTTGGAATAATTTTAATTAATAAAAAATATTGTGGTTGAAATCTCGTCTCAGTTGTGGTAACAATGGAACTGTCATCGATTACTGTAAATTCCCATGTTTGTGTGTGAAATTATCTTCCCCAGAAAGCAGTGGCAGCTGTGTAATTAAATTTCTTCAAGGCTGCACCAGATGGTATGACAGAATAGGAAATCAAGGGCATTGAGCTGGACTGGAAAGTGGAATTGGGACAACAACCCAATGGTGCAGCAAGCTCAAAAGGCCAAATGGCCTACTCCTGCTCTTAAGTTCTGTGACAACTACAGACCCAGTCCTTTTTCAGTGAATGTTAGATAATGGGGAAAATGTGGTCGAGTTCCTGAAAATTGCAATTTAAAGTGAAACACATTTTCCCAATAAAATGAATGTAAAATCTATGGTTGGTTTCTTAAGGACTTTACACATTCGAGGGGGAAAAAAAAGTTTCAAACATTCTACCTTATAAATTGAATTACTTTTTATTGTAAAATTTTTCACCTTCGTATATGAAATAACTTTAAAACAATTTAACTTTTGTCTTTTTAACTTTGCATAGCATCTCTCTCCCACAGCTGACTCTCTTTGACCCTCTTGGTCACTGTAAAGCCTTCCTCTTGCCAACCCACTGGTTCACACACTCTCCCACTCCTGACCCATCTTCTTGCTGCTGATGGTCTGTTTCTTAGCCTCTATACATTTTAGACTAGTCATTCCTTTTCCTGAATTCTCACTGATGACCCAGGGCACAGTTCCATACCCCTGAAGCTCGAGGGTAGAGGAGGAGGGTGTAGGAGCATTTAAAAAATACTTGAATTATGCCAACCCCAGCTTCACACTTCCACACTCCACGAGTCTTCATTGTGAAATAATGTCTGTATTTTGAACGGGAATGCTGGTCCAGGCAAGGGCAACAGAAAGAGGGTGAGTCAGGAAGCACCAGGGTCAGCAGATCCATGACTTTATAAGGGTGGGGAGGTGGGGGTGGGGGGTGTGTGGTTCGTGGTTCATGTGCAAGACCATGAACCAGGCTTGGAAAACAGCCATATGTCAGAGGGTCACCATTGGGATGGAGGGAGCTGTTTAAGCCACTGAAAAAAGGTGTTAATTGAATCCCTACATCACATTGACAAAAAACTACTTGAAGACAAATTTTGTGATGCTAAACGGGGATACAGGTGCCAATGACTAACGAATGTTAAAGCAAAGCAACATTAGACTAGACAGTATGCTTTTAAAGGATGCAAATCACACTCCATTTATTTGAGGAAGGATATACCAAAGTGGATATTGAAAGGCATCTTCTCCTTGGCAGTCCCTTGGGACTAGGAATGACTTTCATCCAGTTCAGTGTTATGAATCCTTGGTTGAGTAGACAATACCCCGTTGCAGGTGAGGCAAGTTGGATTTGAACAGGTGGGTGGGATGCTTTGGGTTTTTTTTAACATGATCCGTCTGCTGTCTGGTCTTAACGTCTGTACCTGTTGGTGATGCTTAAATTGGTTGGCACTTTGGATGTTTCTTCTGTGGGTTGGGTGGTTGTTGACAAGGGATTCCCTTTAGTCATTGTAGATGTTGCATTTGTTGAGAGAGGCTATGGGGATGTCCTTGAAGTGTCCCTCCCACCCTACCCTCCTGGTAAACAGTTGCCATGTTGAAGCTTGGAGTAGAAAGCTTATTTTGGAAGTCATACAAATGATGTGTCCCCACCAAGTGCAGCTGATTGATACTGACTTATTCCTTAAACAAATGGGATGTTGGCCAAAGACAGGATGCAGATTGGAGTGCCTATCCTGGGAGTGGATTTACAGAAATTTTCACAGAAATTGCTGATAATATTTCTCCAAGGATTTGAGTTGTGTGCTGTAAAATGGAAAGGACAATGTGCAGGTCTCTGACCCTCGAGTGATAGCAGCTTCCAGAACCAAACGTCAATGTTTTGGCAATACATGGAATCTTGCACAGCTTAGAGGGAATGCTGTTCCGAATTCTACTTGATGGTTGGCAATACCACCGCCCAGTCAACTATGACCCTGGTGTTGGGTTCTTCTGTTGGCTAAGGGCTGCATTGGCACACTGGTGGTGATGTTTTGAATTTCATCATTGTCTGCTCTTGAGTTTCCCAAGAAAGGGAAATGAATCCATCTGCCATGGATCTTGACAATCAGAGGGGCAGTAATGTGTGGTCAGAGCAGCCTGGTCGAGGACCTTTTGTTTTCTGGATGTTTACCCTAAGGCCCATTCTCTTGTGGAGCTCATCCTCTGAGTGTCCACACAAGAAAGTGTCATCTGCATACTGCAGCTCGATGATTGACAAAAATTGGAGGTAATGCAGATTAAACCATTTCCTGTTTGTCTCATACATTAGCTCCACTCCAACTGGATGCTTCATGGACCTGGTGTGGGGTGTTGCAGTGACGAATATTGAGAAGTAGCTTTGTGCAATATTGCAGCCTTTCTTCACCCGTGTTTGTGCACACATTAGATCTGTGGTGGATCCGCTGGTAAGGATCATGGCTTGCATACTATCGTGTGCCAAATGGCATGATTTTTTGTGGGCAGCCAAATCTGAGGAAGTGTTCCATAGTTGACAGAATTGAAGGCGTTTGAGATCAGAAAGGTCTTGTATTGAGGTTACTGCTGATCTACACACTTTTCTCAGACACCTCTTACTGTGAGGACTATGTCCACTGTGTCTTTTGATGGATGGGATCCACATTATGACTGTTCAGCCGAGATGACGAGGACGATTTTGGCAGACAACAGGGAGATCCCTGTTTTTATTGTTTTTTCTTGAAAATGGTCACAAATATGGCATCTAGGAGGTCCCCTGGTGTGTACTACTTTTTCCCAATGAGGGAGATGAGGTCATGTGTAGAGTAAGAGTCCATACCTGCTTTGGTGAATTGGTAATTCCATCTTTGCTAGTGGCGTTGTTGGCTCTCAGCTGTTAGATGTCTTTTGAAACCTCCTCTCAGGTTGGGGTTGTGCTGTGATGGTGGCTTTAAGGCAGACCAGGTGTTGTGGATAACCATGGTTCTTGCTCATTGAGCATGGTTGACTGTGAGGTGCTGACTGAGTAGATCTTTAACCACAGAGACCTTGAATCTAACAACAAGGTGTTTTTGGGCCAGGCTGATGGAAGTAGTCGACCAGATTCGGTGATGATCTGTCCAAAAATTGGTCAGCTCCTATCCTTATGGTTCCCGACTCATACAAAGTAGCTTTCAAGCAGATGTCAATGTCTGGTCTTGCTGTGGAGTCTTGTATTTTGTCTCTCTGATTAAGTAGGTAGTTGGTTATGATCAGACCATGTTCTAGGTATTTCGTCAGGTGGAGGACTCTATTACTGTTTGCCTTACTTGCTGATTGTGCATTTCAAGAGGTTTGTGTCCCTCCCCACTCTGGCATTGAAATCACCCAGACAAATGTCTTTGTCTTCTTGTGGGACACAGGACAATAACTGATCAAGATGGGAGCTGAATTCCACTTTGGCCCTCTCCATTGCTTCTGGGGATGGAACATACATTCTGATGACTGTGGTGCACTGTTTGTTGGTTAGGATAAGTCTAGGGTTAATGAGGATGTTTCTTTATTGCATAGGAGACCCCACTGAGACAGTCAAATTGTTCATTTTTTTTATGGTGAAGCTGACCCAATAGAGTTGATATTCTTCTCGCTTACCTTTTGAGGCGAAGTTGTATCCATCACTTTGCTTTTTGAGCTGGTCTTCTGGCAGCCACTTATTATTCAGAACAGCATTGTCGGTATCATTGCAAGAGTTTCCAAGTGATGATAGTGATGCTATGTTTGGGTCAGGCACTGTTGGGAATGCACATGAGGGTGCTGATGGTCTAGGCCAACTACATGTTGAAAAGGCCATTACACACTGACATCAGTTCACCATTGGTTCTAGCAGAGCAAAGTCTCTGTCCAATGGCATGGATATCTGAGGCAACTGGAGACCATGCTCTGCTGCACCGATAGGATTAAGTTGTCACAGCCTGCAAGCCTGTTTGCATGCATCTGCTTTGTAACAGAGAAGCTGCACAATGTCGATCAGCACCTGAAAGATCAGAAAAGACATGTTGCTGCCGCAGCATTGGGTGCAAAGTCAATCAGGTCCCACCCCATTGCTGACGCTGATATCATCCGAAAGACCACTCATCTAGTATATGCAGATTTGTGGAAGTTCTTCAATAAACTTCTACTTGAAAGGATGCTCGTGGCATAATGGTCTGGTGCCACAACTAGAATATGGAAGTGGATGAATAAGTGGCTGAATGAGAGAAAAGAGAGGTATTATTTAGGAGGGTGAGTCAGATTGGGTGTATATATTATATGGAGTGTCCCAGGGATTGGTATTGGTATTGGTCTTGGTCTGTATGAATGACCCAGATTCAACAACTTAAATGTCAACTACCAAATTATTGTGTCATAATAAGCCACATAGTGGAGTAGGAGTGTATGGCAACGGGTGTCTGTTAGAAAATGGAAGTTGATGGAGCTACAAGCAGGAAATGGGAGTGCATCACCACTTAACTGGATCTTGGCTAACTATTTTCCTGTGCTATTCCTAAATCCCATTACATCTTGACAGGTGCAGAAAGAGGCCATTCATGTTTTCACTGCCTGTCTGAGCATTTTAACTTCATGTCACTCTCCTGCCTTTTGTCCCATAACCCTGAACATTTGTTTCTATTTAAGTAATCATCCAGTGCCTCTTGAATGCCTCAATTGAACCTTCCTCCATCACATTTCCAGACACTCCATTCCTTACCCTAACTATTTACTGTTTCTTTCACACAACACATTTGCTTCTCTTGCAAAATGCTTTTAAACTGTACTGTCTGGTTCTCCGTCCATTCACGGGTGGCAATTGTTTCTCCCCATCTAGTCTGTCAGCTCCCTCATGATTTTGAAAACTTCTATCATGTCTCCCCTTAGCCTTCTCCAAGGAAAAATAGTCCCAACTTCTCCAATCTTACCTCATCACTGAACTAACTCATCCCTGGAGTCATCCTCATTAACTTTTCTACACACTCCACTGCATTCGCATCCGTCATAGTGTTGCACTCGGAACTATACACACCACTGCAGCCGAGGTCTAACCAGTGTATTTTAAACACTCCACATTACCTGCTCTTAGACTCTATGCCCTTATGTATGAAGCAGAGCATGTTGTAGATATGTTTAATCAACCTGTTCGCACATGTTACGACGCACTATTGGAAAGGTTGGGAACCCAGGTCTCTTTGCTTCTGCACACCCTTTATATCACTTAATTGAATTTAAATTCCACTAACTATTGTGCGATTTGTGTCAGTGTTCACAGAGCATCATTCTGGTATTAATATCTGGCATTATTCATTAGGCTTGATTACTAGTTATACCACTGCAACTATCTTCTCCAAAGAACCACCAAGAGTCAATATTTACATTAAATAAACTTGTGGCACACAAAATTCAAAATGGGGAAATGGCAGATCTCCAAAACTAGGAGAATAAAATGTTTAACAACTTAATGTATTTTGAAAGAAGTGTTACGTTTGAAGGAATTAGTTGCAGTATACATGGTGTCCAAGACTAATATTTCTCAGATAGTTCAATATAATATTTTCTTTGGTTTGTTATTAGGTCTGATTGTCTTGGATCAGGAGGGGAATATAACTGTAGGTATGTACAATTCTGAAGTAGCTAGAGATTATAGTTTTTCTTTAGTCTGATCCAGAAATTACTTTTCATTTAAAACCTGCTTTCAATGGTTTTGCCTCGAACTGTGAAGGTGTATCAACATCTGGAGCTCCATTCAAAGACCCTGGGCGAGTTGGTGATTCACCTTTGCCTGGATGTGGCCTGTATGCAGACAATCGGGCAAGTACCTTCCACAATTTCAATCTGAAGATGCCAAATGAGAAGAGTCTTTTCACTTGTGTTAATGTTGATTAATATTTGACAATGCCTTCATAACCCAATTTGAAAGTGATAGTGACATAGTCCTTTTAGGATGCAGTGTTGCCAAATGCTATAAAAACAGAAAATGCCGGATACACTCAGCAGTTTGGTCAGCATCTTGGGGAGAAAAACCAAGTTAAGATTTCAGGACTGACCTTCTCTCTCCACACGTTACTAGACTTGCTCAACATTTCCCAGCACCATGTAATTCATAGAATCCCTACAGTGTGGAACTAGGCCATTCTGCCCATCAAGTCCATACCGACCCACTGAAGAGCATCCCTGTAACCCTGCATCTTCCATGGCTAATCCACCTTGCCTGTACATCTTTGGACTGTGGGAAGAAACCAGAGCACCCAGAGAAAACCCATGCAGACACGGGGAGAATGTGCAAACTCCACACAGACAGTTGCCTGAGGGTAGGATCAAACATGGGTCACTGGTACCGTGAGGCAGCAGTGCTAACCATTGAGCCACCATCCTTGAGCCGCCACTGTTTCTTCACTGATTTCCAGTGTCCGCTGTATTTTGCTTTTTGTTTTCATGATATATCATTGCAGCTTTCACACAGGTATCTGGTCACATTCCCTGAATAAACAGATTAAAGCCATGCTAGCATGAATTTGTTATGGATGTGGGGACCTTGTTACTTAAGGTTCATTCATGGGATGTGGGCATTGCTGGTAAGACCAGTATTTATTGCCCTTCTGCAAATGACCTTGAGAGTTTGATGTTGAGCCGCCGCCTGAAGCACTGCAGTCCAACTTGTGTCAGTACAGCTGCAACACCATATGGAGGGAGTTATAGGTCTTTGACCCCCACCGAAACTGGTAATACATGGCCAAACGAGCAGGGTGTGCCATTATAGTAGTCAGTGCCTAGGCTGTTATGCGGTGCTATGTCCAATTAATCTGTTTGACTTGTCCAGAGCAATTTTCAATGGTGCCATTCAGAGATCAGTTAGGTCAACAATGTTGCTGTGCGTTTGGAATTCTGAGGAAAAACCTGGTGGCTATGTGGCTGTCTCTTTAATCCCAGGTGTTTTGTTGAAAGTAAATTTCCCTGCCTACCAATGGTGACATTTGTCCTTGCATGTCCGCGCCATTAGTTGGGACCTGTAACAATTCCACATGTTTTGCTCACTTGGGTAAATAAAGCATTTTGTGAGGGATAACAAGTTGGTGGATGTTTTTTAAGCACCCTTTAGTGACTGATAACATGACATTTGCAGAGCAAGCATCGATCTAGAACAAGGATACCTGCTTCCCATTTTGACTAGGAAACACTGGTTCAGGGATCATAAATGGGATGAAAATTAAATTGTGAACCTACAAATTACAATATTTATCAAATTATTGTTTTTTTTCCTCCTGGTTTGCTTTTATTTTCAAGATAATTGGATCACAATCAGCCCGTGACAATTGTTACTCTTTCTAGGCAGGAGCCGCTGCAGGTATGTGTTAGAAAATCAGTGGCATGCTTCATCTCTGGTTATTCATAATGCGTCAGAAGTCATCCCTGTTAAGTAATAATTACATAAACTTAAAACATTCACAATACAACATCTAATGACAAGAATAAACTACAGACTTTGAGATGTCGGAAAGAAGCTGTTAGCCATTTCAAGTTTCTCTAAAAGATAGGTTTGTCTTAATAGCAAAACACGAATTGGCAGTATGTTTGCAAATTGCAAGGCAGAAAATGCAATTGTACGATGTAGACTGTTAGTTTCTTTATTTGTAAGGACAGTTTTCTGTTCCAGTGTCCCCATAACTCCTTAAGCAATAGCTGATACTTTGTTAATGATTTATAGTTTTATTTGGCTCTATTAAGCTTCAGTATTTAATGAAGTGGTTGAATATGTAGCACTTGGTAGAAGAAATGTTTTTTTCGGTAGTTTTGATCATTATATCTATATGGTTATCCTTGCTTAAAATCTGTTTTTCCATCCTTGGGAATATTATTGTTTAGTATGTGCCATGTCTGCCTTCCAGTTGTTTAAGGGTAATTCAGACCTCTGAAACCATCTGCACAGAAACACTCCCAGCATGAACAGCTGTGAAAGCAGATGTGGTGGTCTCTATGTTCATTTTAATTTCAGTGATTGTTCAGGTTTTTGCAAATATTTAGTCTTCTGTGAGATGTGGGCATCGCTGGTAAGGCCAGCTTTGGTTGCCTGACCTGAATTGCACTTGAACTGTGTATCTTGTGGATATTTGACCACATTGCTGTGGTTCTTGATTTACCTGTAGGCCAGATCAAGTAAGGACAGTAGATTTCCTTCCCTAAAGGGCATCAGTAAACCAAGTGGGTTTTATGACCATTTATATTAGTTTTGTGGCCACCATCACTGATCCTATTAATTAGTTTCAATTTCCACTGGATCACCTGGTGGGATTTGGACCTATTCCTCCAGAGGAATTGCCTGGATTAGAAATCCAGTGACATGATCAGTAAACCACCATCTCCTCATTTGATACAGACTCCAGCAGAAGCCCTCACTCATTCCCAAATTATTTTTCTCACTTGCTCCATTACAATTTTCCCATGGTCAACGTCTTCATGAGGCAAGAGAGGTCCCAAGAAATTTGCTTCCAGTCTGTTTCAATGTCACTCTGTAATTGGCTCAGTGGCATGTGTGGTTTGGAGTAAAGGATGGACCTTCACTTTTCTGACTCTGCAAATTGCACAATACCTGACTTCTACTTGATACTTTACTGTGAGCAGTTTTGGGCCCCATATCTCAGAAAGGATGTGCTGGCCCTGGAGCAGGTTCAGGGGAGGTTCACAAGAATGGTCCCAGGAATGAAAAGCTTAACATATGAGGAACGTTTGAGGACTCTGGGTCTATATTTGATGGAGTTTAGAAGGATGAGGGGGGGGATCTAATTGAAACTTACAGAATACTGAATGGCCTGGACAGAGTGGATGTTGGGAAGATGTTTTTATGAGCAGGAGAGACTAGGACCCAAGAGCACAGCCTTAGAGTAAAGGGAAGACCCTTTAGAACAGAGATAAGGAGAAACTTCTTCAGCCAGAGAGTGGTGAATCTATGGGATTCACTGCCTCAGAAGGCTGTGGAAGCCAGGTCATTGAGTATTTTTAAGACAGGGATAGATCGGCTCTTGATTGTCAAGGGAATCAAGGGCTACGGGGAGAAAGCAGGAGAATGGGGTTGAGAGAGATAGTAGGAACTGCCGATGCTGGAGAATCTGAGATAACAAGGTGTAGAGCTGGATGAACATAGCAGGCAAAGCAGCATCAGAGGAGCAGGCAAGCTGACGTTTTGGGCCTGGACCCTTCTTCAGAAATGGAGGAGGGGAAGGGGATTCTGAAATAAATAGAGAGAGAGGGGGAGGCGGATGGAAGATGGATAAAGGAGCAGATAGGTGGAGAGGAGACAGACAGGTCAAGGAGGCGGAGATGGAGCCAGTAAAGGTGAGTATAGGTGGGGAGTTAGGGTGGGGGTTGGTCAGTCCAGGGAAGATGGACAGGTCAAGGAGGCGAGGATGAGGCTGGTAGATGGTAGGTGGGGGTGGGGGTTGAGGTGGGAGGAGTGGATAGGTGGGAGAAAGGACAGACAGGTTAGGGAGGTGGGGACGAGCTGGGCTGGTTTTGGGATGCGGTAGGGGGAGGGGAGATTTTGAAGCTTGCGAAGTCCACATTGATACCATAGGACTGCAGGGTTCCCAAGCGAAATGAGGTGCTGTTCCTGCAACCTTCGGGTGGCATCGTTGTGGCACTGGAGGAGGCCCAGGATGGACATGTCGTCCAAGGAGTGGGAGGGGGAGTTGAAGTGGTTCGCGACTGGGAGGTGTAGTCGTTTGTCGCGGACCGAGTATAGGTGTTCCACAAAGTGGTCTCCGAGCCTCCGCTTGGTTTCCCCGATGTAGAGGAGGCAACATCGGGAACAGCGGATACAGTATACCACATTAGCAGATGAACATCTGTTTGTTGTGGAAGGGTTTCTTGGGGCCTGGGATGGAGGTGAGGGGGGAGGTGCAGGGGCAGGTGTAGCACTTCCTGCGGTTGCAGGGAAAGTGCCGGGGATGGTGGGGCTGGTGGGGAGTGTGGTGCGGACAAGGGAGTCACAGAGAGAGCGGTCCCTCCGGAAAGCGGATAAGGGTGGAGAGGGAAAAATGTCTTTGGTAGTGGGGTCAGATTGCAGGTGGCGGAAGTGTCAGAGGATGGTGCGTTGGATCCGGAGGTTGGTGGGGTGATACGTGAGGACGAGGGGGATTCTGTTTTGGCTGTTACTGCGGGGAGAGGGTGTGAGGAATGAGTTGCGGGAAATGCGAGAGATGTGGTCGAGGGCATTTTTGACCAGTGTGGAGGGGAAATTGCGGTCCTTGAAAAACAAGGACATCTGGGATGTCCGGGAGTGGAATGCCTCATCTCAGGAGCAGATGCAGCGGAGGCGAAGGAATTGGGAATAGAGGATGGCATTTTTGCGGGAAGGTGGGTGAGAGGAAGTGTATTCAAGGTAGCTATGGGAGTCGGTAGGCTTGAAATGGATATCGGTTTCCAGGTGGTTGCCAGAGATGGAAACAGAGAGGTCCAGGAAGGAGAGAGAGGTATCGGAGATGGTCCAGGTGAACTTAAGGTTGGGGTGGAAGGTGTTAGTGAAGTGGATGAATTGTTCAAGTTCCTCGTGGGAGCACGAGGCGGCGTCGATACAGTCATCGATGTAACAGAGGAACAGGTGGGGGATAGGGCCAGTGTACCTGCGGAAGAGGGATTGTTCCACATATCCTACAAAGAGGCAGGTGTAGCTTGGGCCTATGCGAGTACCCATGGCCACCCCCTTTGTCTGTAGGAAGTGAGAGGAATTGAAGGAGAAGTTGTTAAGGGTGAGGATGAGTTCAGCTAAGCGGATAAGGGTGTCAGTGGAGGGGGACTGGCCGGGCCTGCGGGACAGGAAGAAGCGGAGGGCCTTTTGGCCATCTGCATGGGGAATGCAAGTGTATAGGGACTGGACGTCCATAGTAAAGATGAGGTGTTGGGGACCAGGGAATCGGATGTTTTGGAGGAGGTGGAGGGTATGGGTGGTGTCACGGACGTCGGTGGGGAGTTCCTGGACCAAGGGGGAGAAAATAGAGTCAGTGGAGGGGGACTGGTCAGGTCTGTGGGACAGGAAGAATGGGATTGAGAAGCTTATCAGCGGAGCGACTCAATGGCCACATGGCCTAATTTCTGCTCCTGTGTCTTATGGTCTTTCCATGGTGACATCATTAGAAAAAATCTTGTCTTCAGCCTTTTTATTACGTCCCCGTGCATACCCACAGTCTTTTACATCCAGTACATTAGCTTTGAATCATGGTCACTATTATGATGTGGTCAAAATCACCAGCCAGTATAAATAGAGCAAGTTCTCCCAAACAAAGGAAGTTAATGACCTTTTAAACTAACAGTGTTATTGATTGTACAAGAGTTCTTCTGTGCACGCCTCTTCAATAATCATGAATTATTTCCTACCTGCATGCACATTGCAGCAGAGCTTTGAATTAACATTTTACCCAAAAGAGAGCAATTTTGACAGTGCAGGTCTCCCTTAGCACTGCACTGAACACCCGACCCACATTTTGTTGACATATGACAGGGAGCATAGGGTCTTTGGTCTTGGTTAATGCTAGTCTCAGTTGGCCTTGTCTCCTGAAGTAAATGGTTTGCTGTAATTGGTAACAAGCGAAAGCAAGCAGCAAGTTCATGGCATCCACCGTGTTACTTCATGCATTCCCTCGTCGTTAATTGCAGTGTGATAATATGGATATGTCAAAAGTTCAATTTCAAATGATGACACGCATGATTATATTCAAATAACTTTCAACAATATTTCTCTTTTTTTTTAAATTGGAGCCACTGGTGATGGAGATAAAATCATGTGCTTCTGCCCAAGTTTCCACGTTGTTCAACTCATGAAACAGGTACTGTGTTCGGAAACATATTTGAGAGTTTGATGTGAGTGTGGTTTAATTAAATAATCGGCAGAAAAAAGTGTGAGTTATTCAATTGTGCAATCCCAAGGATGTCACAATTTTCAGGAAAGCCAGCATACTGTCTGTTCACCACAAGAAACTTTGGGCTGAATTTTACCCAAACTCCATTCTTACGAGGCAGGAAGGGAGGTAGGGAACAGGAGTAGGGAGGGATTGTTGGTATCAGAATCAGATAGCCAGTCAGCTAACTGAAGTATACCAAAGGCATCCCACTGTGTCGCGGGTGTTCTGTCAAGTGCCGGCAGCAGGTTCGCCCCCTGCTGTGAGAAGATCATCAAGTCAATGGACATAGTGTCACAGAGGCAACAGGAGGGTTGGCTGGAATGTGGGAAAGCAGGGACAGAGGACTGTTAGGTTCTTGAAAGCACCAACGGGTTGTGGGTGGCAATAATAGCCCACACAGCCCATGATTTCCTCAGAGGAGTTTCCCCTTCAGTGTTCGGGCCTGGAATTTAAAACTAAAGAAAACCTGCCCTACCTTCTGCAGGCTGCCCCCACATAAATCAGGTGGAGGTTCTACCAGCAGTCTGTGTGCATCACTATTATTCATTCCCTTTTGCTCTCCAATCGTCGAGCAGTTAAATTCTGGAGTTTTGTTCTTATGCTTCAAGTTAACTGTTAATATCATTTTCCCTTGTGTGTTTCTCCAAATGAACGTTTTTGTCGAAGCTTGCTGCTAATTTTTACTGAGCATATAATTTATTTTTTGTTATTAATATTTTGATCACCCAGTCATATTATTTCACACATTTCACTAAAACTTATCAAACAGTTATTCAATCTTTGTGTTTTTGTAACCTTCGGAATTATTGTTCTCAGGATTGGAATCTTTGACAACATTACGTGATGTGGCTATGAACTTTTCTCTCCATCTTTTCCAGGGCCTTTCTCCGACAGATGCTTGTCAATCTGTAATTCAGGATATTTGTAACAGAGTAGGAAAGAAAGACATCTTTGAAATTGGGCTCATTGCGTTGAATATGAAGGTACTCACTATTACTGCTTCATGTTTGAGAGTTTGCACAAGTTATTTTCAAGGAGGCCTCCTGGGTTAACAATTGGAGTAGGAGCTCAGGCTGAGCTCTGCCCTCAGGATGGTTCATGCGACTGGAGCACACTTAGCCAACTCCTCTAAACTCAGCATAGAGTATAGATCAAGCCTAGAAATTTGTCTTTCCAGAGTTCTGAAGGGTCCCAACCCGGAATGTCGACTCTCCTGCTTCTCTGATGCTGCCTGACTGCTGTTTTCCTCCAGCTCCACACTGTGTTGACTAGAAATTTGTCTTTCTGGTTTCAGTCAGCTCAACAGAAGCACATTGTCCGTAAGCAAGAGGTGATGCTTCCAAAAGATTGAATTTTAATTTTTGAAAATTTAGAACATGTACAGAAATGACTATTCTTTGTGTTATGTGTTAGATGTAAACACTGACATAGATTTCAAATAATCTGAGTAATCATTAATTATCTGCCTGTCAGACAATTTCCTTTCAGGTCTTGCTGAAAGAAGACACATGCTGCTGTGTGTTTGGTCTTGTACTTATCAGGACAGAAGCAAGAATATCACACTTCAAAGGCAGCAATAATATATTGTTCAGAGATAGCAAGAACTGCAAATGCTGGAGTCGGAGATAACACAATGTAGAGCTGGATGAACACAGCAGGCCAGGCAGCATCAGAGGAGCAGGAAAGTTGACGTTTTGGGTCAGGACCCTTCTTCAGAAATCGGGAGGGTGAAGGAAGTTGGGAAATAAAGAGAGAGAGGAGGGTTGGGGCTGGGGAAGGTAGGTGGGATGGTGATAGGTGAGTGCAGGTAGGCAGTGGTGAGGATTGGTCAGTGAGGTGAGGAGGGTGCGGATAGGTGGGAGAGAAGATGGACAGGTTGTATCAGGTCAAGGAAGCAGGGATGAGAGACGGTTGGACATGGGATGAGGCCAGGGTGGGGAGATTTTAAAACTGGTAAATATCCTTAATGAGGAAAGGGATGCTGAATCATTGATAAGTTGACTGTGATTGATCAAGATGTTGCTGTGGCACAGGGACCCATTGTCCCCTGTGATTTTGTTTATTCAGAAAAGTTGTAATGTCCAGACAAATTCCTTTCTTCTGCAGAGAGCAGATCCCTGCATCTGAAAAACTTAATCACCATCAAGCATTAGTGAGCTACCTTGAGGGACACTCCAGGAAGCGTTTACTGTGAATTTTTATGTTGCTCACTGACATGAAGACAACTCTGGCAGCAATGCTGATCTAACAGGGAATAGGAAAAAAAAGACATAGGAGGGTTAAAAGGTCTCATTGAACAAGCAACAGATTTTCCCCCACCAACTGAGAACTAGAATTAGAAATTGTTCTGTTCAGTTGTCCAAAGACACTTAGATCATTTCATGTGATGTGTTACATTGACAGCCGCCCTAACGTTAGCTCTGCCAACTCTCCACAGATGCTGCTAGACTTGCTGAGAGTTTTCCAGCAATTTCTGTTTTCATTTCTGAATTTTTTGTTTTGACCCTCCTTTTTCTTTTTGGCCTATCAGTTTTTTTTCGCACCAGTGTTCTTCTCCCTGCTGTCCATTCTAGACTCTCTCACATTTCAATCTATTGGCCTGGGATTAATTTTAGCTGGTTCACCCTGGGTTATTAAGAAGTCTGTGATACTTTCCAGTAGCCCTAACTCCAGCACTCTGACCTCAAGATCACCCTTTTCCTTAAAAGTTCTTCAGCCCGGGATCATTGATCATCTGCATTGAGGTGTTTAGGGATGTTAGATGGAGGACCAATGATCCTTTTGATTCTTGGGTGACCACCTCCTAAGTATCCGTGTCATCCTGGAGGGCAACCTCCATGTTATCTTTGCCAATCTCATCATACAGAGGCGGTTGGGCAGCCATGCAAGTGTTCTGCAATGCCGTACATTTATCAGAAATTTGTCTTGGTGTTTTTGCAATTAGGATGCTACAGATTTCTTTATTAATTTCTTTACTATTTCTTTGAATTAAAGGTTTCCAAATATTGCTGGTTGCACAGTGCCACATGTCTATGGCATTTGTGTTGGTCAAGGCCAATTTTAGTTGTCTATGTTAACTCGCACAAAGAACATTCAAAGGATGCAAGATGTTTTGCTGATCCTCTTCCATTATATTTAACATAATGACATGCTATCGCATGATATTCCTTGCTCTTATTGCATTTGGATTACCTAATTCTAATATTCTTAATTTGATGTTTCTTAATTAAGTGGACACAAGAGGCACCTATCATTGGAAGGAATGAATCAGACAATGTGCAAAATAACTTGTAAATGGAGTAATGTATGACAACGTCTCTCTGTGATACAGTCGTAGGTTAGCTGAATTACTGTAGGCTCAATATATTCCATCACATCAAATGTTACCCGCGTCAGTCACATTAATCTTGCCCAACACTTTGTACCTACTATTGCAGAAGGTTAGCATCTCTGTTCATACTACTCTCCATTGGGTGGGCCACCCCATGTCCACTCTCATAACAGGCATGTCAACATCTACTCTGACATTAGGTCCTCTGGACCTGACACCTGCATCCACTTCATTGTCAGAAATAAGACAAAGTCCGTTGGGTGTCTCTTCAGGTCTCCTGTCTACATGGAACTGGATTTCTTGTTAGTGCTGGTGGCCTTGTTGGACCCAACGTGGCATCGGCACTTTTTGCAGATTGCTACCATGTATGTACTTCCAGGGAGGTTCATTCTCCGGCACACTTTTTCTGTCCAAATTAAAGTGGGTTATTAAAACCCTCCATTCACAACAAGGGTCTAGGCCCGAAACGTCAGCCTTCCTGCTCCTCTGATGCTGCTTGGCCTGCTGTGTTCATGCAGCTCTACACCTTGTTATCTAAATTGATACTAGGCACTGCAGAGTATCACGATCCACATGGATCAAATGGCCATCTCGCGTTTTTCTCTCCAGGTCATTTAGTCCGTCAGCATCAAAAGAACTGCTATCACTGGCACGGCAGCACAGACAATGTAGTAGACATTAATGTATGAAAACAACTAGTGGTAATCAGCCAGGCAAGGGTTCTATGGGAGACCCATCCATATGAATCATAGTTACTCCCACATAGTAACATATTTGACTGATACATTAACAATCAATTTGAAAGTAACTATTAGCATACTTGGGATTTCTCCACAAGTGTTGTCCAATCACAGAATTATATTTAACATTAGACATTATGTTCTATGTTTTGCGAGCTAGGTTTGTTTGAGTATAGACAATACTCAACTTATTTGCATGGGTGGTAGATCCCATGTTGCCCATGTGTTGTAGTTGGGTGAAATAAGACCTGTCTTCCTCACACAGAAAGAATTTGTCCAGAAATTGCAAATTCATTGATCAAATAAGAGTGTAGGGAACAATGGCTCCCTAATGCGTTGGCCATGGCAATGTTTTGACCAATCATTGCCAACTTGCTGACAAATCAACCTTCATTTCTCATGAAGTATTAATTGTTATTCCCTTGAAATTTGGTATTTTTGTGATCCTGTCCTGATGAGTCCGAAATAAGCATTGACGCATGCTTTTTCTGTTCCAGCAGTGCTCAAATGATGTACCGCCAAGGTACTAATTCCCCTTGAAGTGACGTTAGCATGTTGTTGAAATATGATCCATCACACAAATCACTGACAGTAAACCTTAGAGATAATGTATGAGCAGCACATTGCAATATCCAGGGAAAATTTCCTATTAACATTATATGCTGTTTTGTATGATTGTGTCCATCAGCACAGGATCATATGGGGATCAGTCAAATTAAAGCAGAATTCAGCCAGTGTACAGATGCTCTTACACTCTCAAAAGTTGGAAATAGAAGCTGGAAACACAAAAAAAAATGGCAGAGGTGTACTCGGAGTCACAGAATTGTTCTAGAACAGATGGAGACCATTTCCCCTATCACATCTGTCCCCCTGCTGTCAATAGGAGCACTTTACCAATAGCCACTTCCCCACTTTTTCAGTTACCCAGCACAATCTTCCTATTTAGATAATCCAGTCCCCTCTTGACACTTAAGTAGTGCATTCCAGACCTGAACAACTTGCTATGTGAAAATGTTTCTGCTCGTATCACTGTTGCTTGAATTGCCAGTCAGTTTGAATCTGTACCTTCTTGTTCTTGATCCTTTCACCAATGGGATCAATTTCTCCCTGTCTGCTCTGTCTAAACTCCCTCATCGTTTTGAACACCTTGGTCAAATCTCCTCTCAGTCTTCTCTTTTTCAAAGAAAACCGCCCCAATCTGTCCAGTCTGTCATTGTAGTTGAAGTGCCTTGACCATAGAGCCATTCTCAAGAATCTTTTCTGTGCATTCTTAAATACCATCACATTCTTCCTAAAGTGTGGCACCCAGAACAGGGTGTATGATTCTGTATGTAAAATTGTTATTTTTCTATAACGGTGGTGCTGTGGAGTTGAAGTGAGAGATTATTTTTGTTGTTAACTGAAGCATTAAAATACAATGCAAGATTATTTTGGAGAAGGATTACTTTGGATAGGTGGAATGAATCAACATTTATCTTTTATCAGTGCTTTCAGTTTTCCATTTGTTTTAATATTCTTTGATTGTAGGAAATAGTTAATTGACCACAAAGTTATTAACTAACTATGTATTTGTCGGATTTACTATCCCTGGGGAGGTGAGAGACGTTGACTTGCAGAAGCTCTGAGAGTTTAAAGAACAAGGATTATTGGGAACATTAACAGGCAATAGTCACAAAAGAAGATAGTGGTTTTGTTGGCCTTTGAAAAGGCTGTGATTATTCCAAATGTTTTCTTTAAAAAAATTAATAAACCTTTGTGGAGAGGGTGCTGGGAGCATTAGGCAAAACCTGGTAGCAAGCAAAGTTAAGATAGGGACAGGAAAAGTGTCTGGCGGAGTCATGCAGCACTTGCGCACTGATGTTGCCTGGCAGGGAGGAGGATTGCTGCCTGGTTTCTGAAGAGTGTCCCTGTCCCTACCTCTGAGCTATCCTCCCCAAAGGGTGGCAAGTAGCTTACCCAGAAAAGCATGGTCAACACTCTAGCTCCTCAAATAGTGCCAAGGGATTATATTGCTTCCTGCACAATAACAGCTACTTGAATTTGTACAGCATCTTTTTAAGGTGCTGAAAAAAATCTCAAGGCACCTCACAGGAGTAATTGTTAAGTTCCAAGCCAGGAAAGGAGGTATATCAGGAGGAGGGGCCAGAAGCTAAATGGGAAAGGTTGGCTTGAAGGAGAACATTGAACACAGAAGAGAGACCTAGAGAGAGTATCAAAAACAAAGTTGCTGGAAAAGCTCAGCAGGTCTGGCAGCATCTGTGAAGGAGAAAACAGAGTTAACGTTTCAGGTCCGGTGACCCTTCCTAGAGAGAGTATTGTAGATTGTGGAGCCCCGTCTGCTGAACCATAGAAACCATCAGCCAGGAACTTGGTCTGGTGTCTCTTCCAGAAAAGCTGAGCCTCTGACAACGCAGCAATTCCTTAGTGCCATCCCAGATGACGTGCTTGAGTCTGTTAGTGAGGTTTGAGGTTTTTGATGCTGAGGACTGAGTGATGCCACTGAGATTCTGTGAACTGTTTGCAGCTCCGTAATATGCTGCATTTTAGAAACTTTTCTCATCACCAACAAAATACATGAAATCTTGTCATAATTGATATACCTACTCCAGGAAGAATCATTTAAGGGAACAAACAAACCTTTCCTGCTCCTCTGGTGCTGCTTGGCCTGCTGTGTTCATCCAACTCTACACCTTGTTATCTCAGAATCTCCAGCATCTGCAGTTCCCACTATCTCTATATCTATGTTGTGCTTTTCAGGGCTTCAACCAGAGTGATTTTCAGCCAAAAAGGTACTTTTGGAAGTGTGGGATATTCTGAGAACTGAATGATGCAGGTTCTAAAGGTTTTTTTTTCCCCCCACACAGGGTGAAGTTGGTGCTGCTTCAACTGTCCCTTTTCCGTATACATTCTGGGCTCATGGAATGGAAACAGTGGAACAAAGACAGAGCTGCCCTCATGTACAGTTAGATTAGCAAACATCAGTGCAATTCTGAAAAAGCTGATACTTCTTCCAAAACCTTGTGAAAAAAACACTGCAATCTGTCATGTCACAGCTCTATCCTATCAGGTTTGATGCAGGTTCAAAAGCAAGCTGTTGGAACTGTCAGGTCAGTTTGGAGTGGAAAGTACTAGACGTGACAATGCTCAGATATATGCTGTTTGTTCACTTCTAGATCTTTCTTTAAATCTGAAAGCTAGTGGCAAAGCCAGCTTTATTGCCCATAGCCTCAAGGTTCCCAAAGGATATGATGCCAGGCTTTTGTCTTTAATCTGCTCAGCCCTTCTTTTGTTCAGTGACAAAACTGAAGAATTTTCCTATTCTGTTTTAGAACCTGCTGATCTTTTAATTGTATTGACAACCAGTCTATATTAACTGCTGCGATGCCTGAAATGAAAGCCCCCATTCTGAATCATAAGAATGGAGGAAGATGAAGTACTGTATATACCCTACAATTCCCTGACCCTGCTCAGCTATTCCATAAGAGTGTGTTTGATCTTGTACTTCAAAGTGACTTTTTTAGTCTTGTTTGTGTTTTCCTTGATTGCCTTTGTGTCCAAAAATATTGTTATTTTGTCTTGAATATAGCAATCAACTGAGCAGTTACCACTGTCAGTGCTGGAGTATTCCAAAGGTTCTCAACTCTCTGAAGAAATTTCTCATCCCTGTCCAAACTGATCATTATTCAAGACTTTGACATCTGCTTAGAGATCTCCAAGCCTGGCGCAATATACTCACCTTCAACTCTTCCCAGCCTTCCCCAGTCACTGCATCGCATTGAGCAACTCCAGCTTTATTTATGAATGAATCAGAACACAGTGTGATGAGAGATGCTTGAAGAGACTTGAAACTGAATATATCATGTACTGTCTTATGATTGCGTCATCACTTTGCCGAATGAGTGGGATGGTTTTGGCTGAGAATGGAGTCTTGCCGACACAGCAAGTCACTCATGATCAAATGAAGGACTGAGGAAGTGAAATTTATTTCTTGTGGTAGAAAGCTGTGACACTGGAGTATCAATTCACACTGTCACTAAGACATCACACATGTCTTTTATGAAGATGTGTTATTGAAAGTATTAATTTATGATGTCGTGTGGATGAATTGAGATATACACACAGAACTGGCTGGATATATTTACATAGGTAACAGCCTCAACAGCATCTTTTTTCAGTAATGCTCAAGTCTGTACTACTGAGCAACTACTCTGATATAGATTTTCAAAAGAATACTTTTCAAAGCTAAGGCTGTTAACTAAGCCAAACCACAAGCCCCAATCTTCTATAACAGAATTAGAGGTTCCCTTCTAATAATTACCCCAAAACATCCAGAAAAGCTTGCCTTTCCCCTCCTAATCCATTAAAAGATTGGTTAAAGGAAAGAAAATCCCTGATCCATTTTATAAATAACAAGAAACAACTTATTTATTTAACACTAACAATGAACAAATTAACAGAATTACTAACAAACCAAACAATTCCCTCTCAAACTACTAACTATTCCCTAACTGCACTAAATTCTACTGGAATGCTGTTCAAATAAACACAAGTCTCACTTATATAAACCCAAATAATCAGACGACAATAAACTAAAACTTAATCTCTCCAAATTCATACTGACTGTGTCTTCTGAAACTCTCTACCTTCTGCTGATGTCACGCCCCAAATGCCTTTCTTTCACTGATTCTCCTGTCAGGGATGTTTCCTCTGTGAAGACTCTTAGCTAAAATGCTGTGGTACCTTTTATTGATTAGATGGTGCTCTTTCTTAGCGAGCTTAGCGATTTCTTATGAGAGCTCGGAGCTTATCTTTCAGATGGCAGGCTTGCTTTCTCCGATTTTCCAAATGCCCTTGTCTTGTGGACCCTTAATAACATATTATAAGGAGTTGATTATGATTGATTTCAGGTGGTCAACACGATCAGATTTAAATCCAGTTGGCTTTCTGTATCTCGGTGCTTTGTTGAAATTAATTGGCCAAATTCAAACTTGGTGTCTTGGTAAAAATGTTGCTTGGCTGTTCTATACAAAATGTTTCCATTCGGGCACACTGTGCACCTGCATTTATAAACTTCCAAGTACAGACAAAGCAGAAGCTCTTAAAGGGATCACGGCACTCTTTTTCCCCACAATCCTCTTTACCAACAAATTATAACTTCCTGCCTTTCAATTCATGAATACTCTACTCAACTTCATAATAAGCCAAAAATGTTAGACTTGTGGCGAATGCAAGCTGCATAATAGAGTCACTCAGTCAACAAAGCTTTCAGAGGTGACTGAACCAAAGAGACAGTCAAAGAGAAACTGCCATAGAGGGAACAGCTTGCTCCTCTCTTTTTTTTGTATTTTCTGAAGACCTTAGAGTCAAAGTCATGCAGCATGGAAACAGACCCTTCAGTCCAAATCCTCCATGACAACCAGCCATCCCAATCTGACCCAGTGCCATGTGCCAGCATTTGGCCCTTATCCCTCTAAACCCTTCCTATTCATATACCCATCCAGATGCCTTTTAAATGTTGTAATTGTACCAGCCCCCACCACCTTCTGTGGCAGCTCATGCCATATACACGCACCACCATCTGTGTGAAGAAGTTGCCCCTTAGGTTCCTTTTAAATCTTTCTCCTCGAACCTTAAACCTATGCCCTCTAGTTTTGGACTTGCCCCTCTTTAGGAAAAAGACCTTGGTTAGTCACCCTATCCGTGCCCCTCATGGTTTTATAATCCTCTATAAGATCGCCCGTCAGCATCTGATGTTCTAGGGAAAAAAACCCAACTTGTTTAGCCTCTCCCTATAACGCAAACCGTTCAACTCTGGCAACATCCTTGTAAATCTTTTCTGCACTCTCTTTCAAGTTTAACAACATCTTTCCTATAGCAGGAAAACCAGAATTGCGCAGTATTCTAAAAGAGGCCTCACCAATGTCCTGTACGGCCACAACATGACCTCCAACTTCTATACTCAATACACTGACCAAGAAGGACCTTTCTCACTATCCTGTCTACCTGTGACTCCACTTTGAAGGAACTTTGCACCTGCACCTCTAGGTCTCTTTGTTCAGCAACACTCCCCAGGGCCTTACCATTAAGTGTGTAAGTCCTGCCCTGGCTTGCCTTACCAAAATGCAACACCTCACATTTATCTGAAACTCCATCTGCCACTCCTCACCCATTGGCCCATCTGATCAAGGCCCTGTTCTGAGATAATCATCTTCACTGTCCAGTATGCCACTGACTTAAGATCTTATACTCTACAAATTTCTGGGGTATCTTTTGCATACATGAGGAGGCAGCGAGGGGAATTGCGTTTTTGTTTTATTTTGTACTACTGAACTGTTGGATATATTTGTACCTTTTAAACCTTTAGTTAATTTCTGCTGCTTTTCTTGGGTGAATATTGCAAATAAAACTGTCTTCTTGTTAGCTTAAGGAATCTGACTGGCTTAATTGTCACACCAAGTTATACACAGTGAAATATTTATTTATTTAAATGATCATATCACTTTTTAATATCAAACTGTCCAAGAGTGAAGAGAGGTTTCAGTGCACCCTCTGTCACCTCGTTGTTAATACCTTTAAGATGCAGGGTTCATAGAATGTGTACAGAGTGGAATCAGGCCATTCAGCCCATCAAGTCCACACTGATCCTCTGAAGAGCATCTCACCCAGACCCACCCTCCTACCCTATTGCTGTAACCCTGCATTTCCCATAGTAAATCCACCTACACACAATGGGCAATTTAATATGGCCAATCTACCTACCCTGCACATCTTTGGACTGTGGAAGGAAACCAGAGCACCCAGAGGAACCCCACACAGACACGGGGAGAATGTGCAAACTCTGCACAGACAGTCACCAAAGAGTAGAATCAAACCCGGTTCCCTGGCACTGTGAGGCAGCAGTGCTAACCAAAGAGTCACCGTGCTGCCCTTTTTGGTTGTTGTTGCCCCACAATTCCTTGTTGCGGGGAGTGTTTGAGGCAGGGACCAATATCCTTTATGGAGAAATTAGAAATATTTGAATCAAGGAAAGGTGAGGAACAGGAGAGAAACTGTGGAGGATGAGGGTACAGGACTGACTAAATTGAACACCAGTGGCCATGGAGACAGAGGAGGAATGACTGAAGAAATTGTCTCAGTCATCATCATGAGGTTGTTGTACTTGTTGAGGCTGTTAATATACAGATTATTGGTAACAAGGAAAACAATCTCAAGGTTATCTTTGTCCTGCAGGATGATCTAATGGTAGTTTTAGAATGGCAGGGTGTGCTGATCACGTTAATATGATTGACCCAGGCCTGATAATGATGCCTAAAGCAATTGTACGTGTATGGAATGAGCTTCCAGAGGAAGTGGTGGACGCTGGTACAATTACAACATTCAAAAGGCATTAAAACGGGTATATGAAAGGAAGGGTTTAAAGGGATATGGGCCAAATGCGGGCAAATAGGACTAGATTTATGTAGGATATTTGGTCGGCATGGATGAACTGAACCGAAGGGTCTGTTACCATGCTGTTTATGACTCTATAAGTCAAAACCCCTTGAATGCGGGATGCATGGATTAGAAAATTAAAAAGACAATTATTTGACAAGCACTTTGGAAGATTCTGTGGTTATGAAAAACGTGACTGAAGTGCAAGCATTTCTTTCATACCAGTGTGATACTTCAGCCTGATCTGTGGTAATTCCTCTCTCCCCGTTGACATATTGGACTGACCATGGTTACTGTGGGTTTTAAGATACTTGCAGGTATTAGATTACACTGGCAGTTGTTTTTGTGGCCAAATACTATGTATTTTTTTTAATCCATTGGTTATACCTTTATTTCTGTGACTGACCTGTTTTGTGTACCAAGCTGTTTTGCTTTCAGAAGCCCAGTGAGAAAGAGGCTTCTTCATGAATGGGGACAGAAATCTTGCAACACACCTATTATGAAAATCTCCAACACCAGTAGGCTAAGTGAGGCACAGAATCAGTTATACATTTCACTGTGGTTTTGCAAAAGCTTTAAATATCTGACATGTGGGAGGTAACTTAAAATGGAGGTGATCTGTTCCACTTATTCTCAACAATAATACTGGAGTTCTAATGAGTCCTGGGATAATGATCTAACATGGTCACTTTTGGTGCCATTGGGCATTGCACTGAGATAACTTTGACCTAAGCAACTGATGCTAACAGTTGTATCTATCTCTTTCAGTTCATTTACAGGAAGTGGGTGTCACTGCAAGGCCAGCATTTATTTCCCATTCCTACTTGAGAAGGTGGTAGTGAGCCAACATCTTCAATTGCTTCAGGCTGTGTGTTACAGGGAGCATGTTACAGCGTCTTGATCCAGTGATGGTGAAGGAACTGCAAATATACTTCCAAGTCAGACTGCTATGTGGCATAGTGAGGAGCTTGCACTAAACTTTCTCAGGCGCCCAGACCTGCAAACTCCATGCATGGCAGCTGCTTCTGAAACTGGAAGTTCATGTGTAAGCACAGAATGTCAGAGCAGCTCACACACATTCCTTACAGCTGGTGGTGCTCTCATGTGCTTGGTATATCAATCATCCAAACAGTAGTAGTAATATTGCAATCTTAGGAACTAAGAACTTCAGAAAGTGAGGAAACACATTTGTTGTCTGATACATGTTGCAAGACATATAATTTTGAAATGTTTAAGACTTGATCTTGCACCATAGAATGACACAGCACAGATGGCCATTCAATGTTTTGCGCTGGGCTTTTTGAAACAGCCATCCAAGCAACTTTACTCCCTACACACTCTTCACCTAAACCTTTTCTGGAATTTGACCATCAGGAGTGAGGCGAGCTTTTGTTGCCGTTCACCTGAGTGTTTCACTTGGGTCATTTCGGAAGGTAATTGAGAATCAACCTCTTTGCTGTGGATCTGGAGTCACATGTAGGCCAGATCAGGCAAGGATGGCAGATTTCCTTCCCTCAAGGACATTAGTGAAACAGGTAGGTTTTTACAACAATCAAGATAGTTTTATGGTCATCATTACTGAGACTTGATTATTGATTCCACGCTTCAGGAAGGATTTGAAGGGATTGAAGTGCATGCAGAAGTTGTTTACGAGAATGATTCCAGGAATGAGAAACTTCAGTAATCAAGATAGATTGGAGAAGTTGGAATGCTTCAGATGCAGAAAAGAAGGCTGAGAGGAGTTTTCAAAATTATGAGGGAGCTGAACAGAGTGGATAGAAATTGTCCCTGCTCTTAAAATGGTTGAGCATATATTTAATGACAGCAATTTGTAAAAGAAGTAAATACGATGTAAAAAAACCTTATTTACAAAGCTTGTGTTAGGGTTTGGAATGCACTACGAAGAAATGGGTTGGAAGTAGCTTTAATTAAGGCATTCTCACGAGGGCATTTGGTCATTGTCTCCATTGAAATAATGGGCAGGATTACCAGTGTTTGGTAAGGGCTTTAGGACCCCAGAACAACCTTACAATGAAGTTACGGAAATAGTCCCCACTGGGCATAAATAGCACGATGTGGGCAGAGTTAGATGTCTAAGAGAAACAAAAACAGAAATTGCTGGAAGATAGCAAGAACTGCTGATGCTGGAGTCAGAGTCACAGTGTGGAGCTAAAGGAACACAGCAGGTCAGGCAGCATCAGAAGAGCAGGAAAGTTGACACTTTGGGTCAGGACCCTTCTTTAGTGCTGTAATCGTTCTATGATATCAATTGATTTCCAACTCCACCAGCTGTCATTGTGGGATTTAATACCACATCCCAAGGCCATGAATCTAGATTACCAATTCAGGATATCACCACCAATCAATCGTGTTTTCCAACCAAGATTCACTTTTCTTTCTATTCATTTGTGGGGTGTGGGCATTGCTGGTTGGGTCAGCATTTATTGCCTGTACCTAGTTGCCCTTGAGAAAGTGGTGGTGAGCTGTCTTCTCGAACTGCTACAGTCCACATGTACATTGACCCACAATTCCCTTAGGAAGAAAAGTCCAGAATTTTGACCCAGTGACACTGAAGGAATGGTGCTATACTTCCAAGTGGGTGGCTCAGTGGTTAGCATTGCTGCCTCACAGCGCCAGGGACCTGGGTTCAATTCCACCCTCAGGCGACTGTCTGTGTGGAGTTTGCACATTCTCCCCGAGTCTGCATGGGTTTATGCTGGGTGCTCCGGTTTCCTGACATGGTCCAAAGATGTGCAGGTTAGGTAGATTGGGCATGCTAAATTTTCTGTAGTGTTCAAGGATATGTAGGTTAGGGGTTAGGTGCATTAGCTATGGGAAATGCAGGGATAGGGTAGGGGGTCAGGTTTGGGTGGGATGCTCTTCAGAAAGTCTGTGTGGATTTGTTGGGTTGAATGGCCTGCTTCTACACTGTGGGGATTCTATGAAAGTCAGGACAGTGAGAAGCTCGGAGAGGAAACTTGGAAGTGATGGTGATCCCGTATATCTGCTATTCTTGTCCTTTGGAATTTAAATAGTTGTAGGTTTGGAAGGTGCTATTTGAGAAATTTGATGAATTTCTGTAGTGCATCTTGTAGGTAATACACACTGCTGCTACTGAGCATCAGTGGTAGAAGGAGTGGATGCTTGTGGATGTAATGCCAATCAAGTGGGCTGCTTTGTCCTGGATGGTGTCAAGCTTCTTGAGTATTGTTGGAGCTGCAATCATCCAGGCAAGTGGGGAGTATTCCATCACACTCCTGACTTGTGCTTTGTAGATGGTGGACAGGCTTTGGGGAGTCAGGAGGGGAGTTACTCACTGCAGTATTTCTAGCTTCTGGCCTGCTATTGTAGCCATTGTGTTTATGTGACAAGTCCAGTTGAGTTTCTGGTCAATGGTAACCCCCAAGATGTTGAAAGCGAGAGAATTCAGTGATGATAACACCATTGAACATCAAGGCGTGGTGATTTATTCCAATTTAGAAAGTTTGCCCATCCATTGGGCGATAGTGGTTTTGTCACTGGACTAATAATCCAGAGACCCAGCCTTATGATCTGTGGACATGGGCTCAAATTGCCTCATGTCAGGTGTTGAAAGGTGAATCAATCAAAATCTGGTAAAATACCCAGCCAATTGGTGAGCATGATTGTTGTAAAAATCCAAAACAAAGAAATTGCTTAAGAAACTTAGCAGGTCTGGCTGTATTTGTGGAGAGAGAAACAGAGTTAACATTCGAGTCTGGTATGATTTCTTCAGAACCGAAAAGTTTTTTTTAATCTTCTGTGTTTGTTTCAGATTTCCAGCATCCACAGTTTTCATTCTTTATTCCAGCCACATAAAAACAATGTCTTCCAGGGAGATAAATCTGTTGTCCTTATCCAGTCTGGCTTGCATGTGAATCCAGACCCACAGCAATGTGGGTGACCCTAACTTGCCCTGTGAAATGGCCCCTGAAAGCTACTTTGTCTATGTGGTGTTTTTTTTCCCCTTT